GAAACCTTCTTATTTTGAATGTCCTCGGATCTCTTTTTGTGCCAGAAGACCTTCAAAGACACCTTTTTGGAACCTGCTTTACAGTCTGGATTACTCTGGTCAGGTGAGTTTTGTGTGCTACAAGCAAAGCTTGGCAAAACTGGGACAGGAGGAGTATTTTCAAATATTCCACCAACAGTTTTGCCCCATTTACCTTTTACAACAATGTGCACTTTTCTAGTTTAGTTGATAGTCTGCAGGATCACTTTATGGTCCATTCCATGATTCTTGTAGCTGTGTTTGGTGTAGCTATTCATATTAAAGCTGGTCCTTAGGGTCAGTTGTTAAGAGTTTCCAGGAAGAACAGATTTGTTATGTGTAAAATTGTTCACAAAATATTTGGTATGCTTAGTTTGACATACTAAGAAACTGCTTAGTACCATGTTGGAAGGAAGGCTGGGGGCTCCACACACCTCCTTAGTTGGATATATATAGATATATATATGACAGTGATGAAATTTAGCACCTGAAGTAGGTCCGATTGTATCTGGCTCATACCAATTTATGGAATGAATTAATGATTCCTAACATTAACAACAACTGACTGCATGCCACAATTGGCTGGATGCATCACGTCTTGAAAATAAAGAAAAGGCTTTCTTAAGTGTGTTTTCCTGCTAAGAGAGCTGGAGAGCTCCGTAGGCAGCAGCTGGGCAGCTGCTAACCAGTCGTTTACACTACTGGGGAGCAGAAACCCTCAGGGTGAAGTCCAGTGTGTTGCTGGGGTTGAGTCCTCGTGACAAACACGGAGGCAGCACAGAGTCCTGCTCATGCAGGTTCTCTTGGCAGATAGAGATGGGGGCTTGGTTGTGTTCCTGAGACAAGGACAGTGGTGCACTATCTGTCATTACAGGAGACAGTAAAAAAATCCAGGGAGGCCAACAACCACTGGCCTTTAGTTAGTTGCTTTTGTTCACCAGTGCAAGTTCTTTGTGACAACAACATCCACCATTAACTGATGCGATTGTTAAAGGAATCGGCTGATCTGCTGGTAACCAGAAATGAGCAGTTAGCACGGCTAAATGGATTACACTGCTTGTCCTAGAAAAAGAAACAGAAATAAAACCTAAAATAAGATGAAATTGAATTTAAAAATTGCTATAGCATTACTTCACCCTGAATATTCAGGAGCACCTCAACCTTGCAGGGAGTGAAAAATATATGGCAGTATTTTAACATCCTGGAAATACAGGGGACTCTGACCCTTACAAGGTGCTGCAAAGGAGCGCTCTTACACCCTGGAAGTACAGGGGATTCTCAGCCTCGTGAGGCGTCACCTTAGCCCAGTGCCCCGGGTTAGGGGGCCAGGAGGGATATTCACATTGTGGTCCAACTGGAGGAGTTGTTAGAATCATAGACTCCTTAATTTTGGAAGGGACCTCTGGAGATTATCTAGTCCAACCCCCCTGCACAAACAGGGTCACCTAGAGCACGTGGCACAGGGTGGCATCCAAGCGGGTTTTAAAGATCTCCAAAGAAGGAGACTCCACCACCTCTCTGGGCAGCCTGTTCCAGGGCTCTGTCACCCTCACTGTCAAGAAAATTTTTCTTAAGTTGCTGTGAAACTTTTGGTGCTTCCATCTGTGGTCATTTCCTCTAGTCCTATTGCTGACCACCACTGAAAAGAGGCCGCCTCCTCACTGCCTCCCTTGAGGTATTTATAGACACTGATCAGGTCCCCCCTCAGCCTCCTCTTCCCCAGGCTGAACAGGCCCAGCTCCCTCAGCCTTTGCTCATAGGGCAGATGTTCCAGGCCCCTGATCATCCCCATAGCCCTGCGCTGGACTCTCCAGCAGCTCCACATCCCTCTTGTCCTGGGGAGCCCAGAACTGGACACAGTCTCCAGATGTGGCCTCACCAGGGCTGTGTATAGCGGGACGATCACCTCCCTCGACCTGCTGGAGACGCTCTTAATGCACCCCAGGAAGGGGTCATTCCCAACTCCTGCTTAACTCATCAGTGCTAGACACTTTTTATGGGTCTTTTATGCCCTTAGGGAAGGAGTATGTGACTGAGCTATGGTTATTCTTGTAAAGCGCTTTTTCCCAAAAGCTTCAGGCCAGATCTATGGGAGCATCTACTTTTTTGCACTGTCAGCGTGATGGGTCTCGGCCCCTTATCAATGCTCGGAAGCGTGTCCAGTTTGGTGCTGTTGTAGCCTTTAGCAAAGGGAGACGCCCCAGCCCCTGCCTCCATGGGATTTCCCACTTCCCTATCTTCCTGCTGCGGACAGCACCCAACAATTCCCCTATTGTGGCTGCTCCACATCTCAGAGTGCAATTCTGCAATGTCATCATTAGTTCTTTACTCGCCCATCAGACACACACCCCTAGGAAGATACTGGATGGCCTAGGGTTTCCTGTTCTGCCATATAAAGACATCTGTTTTGACCAAAGGAGCGAGGTTTGTACTGATTTAGCTATATGGGACATGCTGGTAGAAACTATTGGAGACTGTAAGCGTGTGGGTATGTATGGATACCACGCCGTGTGAGAGAGCAAGCAGCAGTGCAATCCAAGCTGGGCTTGGGCATTTGCGCCGCCAGGAGTAACACACTGGACTTGCTGGGTACCTGTATCCAGAGAGAGTCCATGGGGCACCACAAAGTGGCCAGGACCCTCCATGGACAACAGGTAGCGCAGGGCAGGTTGAGGGACCCTTTGAACTGACTGTGAAGAAAAAATATTGTTAAGAAGGGATGGAGGAAAGTACGAAGGAGGAAGGAAAGTAGTGGAATGAGGTGGGTTTATATATGTGGCACCAGAAGGGGTTATGAGACTTTAAACCGTAGGTTCAGTTCCAGCAAGGTAAAGAGAAATGGGTTCGCTTTGCTGGGAAAAATGGGAAGACTGGGTTAGAGGGGATTTCTGTTTTCTAGTCTGAATGGCACATATTCAACTTGATACCAAAACTGATACCACTACTGGTTAATACCCATTTTGTCCTAGTATTTTCTTTGTATAAAGGAATCATGGAGTAATTAAACAAACATGCACTTGCTTTAACGTATCATCAAGCAAATGGAACATCCTCGCTTCTTCTGCTTAGGTTTCAGTCTGTTCAATACTACCTAAAAGTAGTAGAAGTTTGCTGATGATTTATAACATCCAAGTTTTCCTGGCTGTGGCTTTTATTTAATCAGATTCACTGCTTTCAAAGAGATGACTACCTTCTTAGCTATTAGTGTGCATACTTCCTCTAAATTACTATCTAAGTCAGCAATATCTTCTAGTTTGAAATTCCAGTGACTAATATTAAAATATTAAAATGAAAGCCCAGTTTTCTCCTTCCTCTTTGCATCCAGACATGAATGGCTTCCCACTGTCTGATAAGTCATTGCATTTACGTTACACTGATCCTTTCCACTGATACTTTTATGTTTGAACAGTAGTTTTGATTTCCTTGTTTTACGATCAGCAAAAGTGCCAGTTCTTTCCTGTGTTACACTGAATTTGCTAGTTTGGGGAAACTCTCTTTTCCAGGTCGTAGTTGTACTTTGTCTTCTGAAAATGTTAGGGAAGTTGCTGTAGCTGGACGGTGGCGCAGGGTATTCCCGCGTGGTGCTGTGCCTCCCAGGGATGGCCCATCCCAGTGTTTCAGGACCAACGGAGCATTTTTAGAGGCTGGGCACATAGACTGACACAGGGTTTGTTCACTCCTCAGCCAGAAAGCAGAGCTGCCCCTCTGGAAGGGGCTCGGGGAGCGTGGCCACCTCCAGCTTCTCCACGTCCCGGCTCGGCAGCAGCCGCTGTTCTCAGGGCAGACGGGGCGCAGAGATTTCCCCTTTCACCTTCTCTGAACTTTCTTCCTGTTCCGCTGCCCGGGTTGCTACCAGCCAAGAGCAGTGCCAGGCTGTTGTGCAAGCGAAGCTGAGCTCGCAGCCTGTGGTTTCCCCTCGAGGTGACGATCAGTTGCCTCCACACCTCTTCTGAGTAACCAGATCTGCTCTTAGATAGTGACACACGCTTGGCCTGCGCTGCCAGCAAGCTAATCTCAGGAACAAATCGTTGGCTGAGATACTGTCTTCTCCACCTGCTCCTGGTGCTATTTGTTCTAAAAAATAAAAAATTATTTCATTGAACTTTTCATCATGGATCTCAGCCTCTAGAGCTAAAACACAGGTATTTAAAAGTTACATTCCCCATGGCTGTGACTTAACTGAGGAACAGGGAGCTTCAATCTGTAAGTCCTTCCCTTGGATTAAGTGACACACAGCATGGGTATATGCAAGGTAAGGGATGAGCCAGATGACTTGGTACAAAACCAAGTAGCACCTGGAATTCTGAATGGTATTTAAATAAATAAATATATATAAAAAAGGAAATTTTAAACTTGGATGTCTTTTTTTTTTTTTGTGATGGTTGTGGAAAAGAAGGAAGTAGGAGACAACTGAGTTGTTATATGGAGAAATGCAGCACTTCTGAAGTTTGAAAAAAAAAAGAGGCTGAGTATGAGTAGCTTAATACATCATCTCACTTTGAGGTGTTAGGTATAATGTGAAATGAGCGGTGGCAAAGCCTGCAGTGCATTTGCACAGATAGAATAAGGTGTGCACAGATCAACCTTTTCTTACAGAAAATAAACCATGAGGGCAGTTCCTGTCTAACCTGAAAAATCTCATGCTGCATTCCCATGCTTTCCATTCATATATCCTTCAGCTTTTATTTTACCAAAATGATTTTTGTGGAGGCATGAAATGTACTTCCACTTTAAAGGTATCACTCATCTGTTTTACCTTTGCATACAGTAACTCGGTGAAACTTTTACAAGTATTGAACTATATTAATGAGCCCTGTGGGTTGTGCCTGCTGTGGCAGCATGAATATTTGTCAACAGGATTTTATTTTTTTATTTTTTTTTTCTCACACACTCTATCAGGAAACACTCGCAATTACCAAACTATATCGGTATGCGAAACATATGGCGTTTTGGAGCTGCTTGGTTGCTGTGGAGGATAAATAGCTGCTGACCCCAAAGGGGATCTTTTCGAGAAAAAAGAGAAGTGTCCCTCTGCCTTATAAGGCAGGGGCCGGCTCGCTCGGCTCCGGGGAAGGGGCGGTCGCAGCTCCCTTCTGCCGAGCTCCGTGCGGAGCCTGAAGTTGCGCCCGAATTCCCGCAGCTCATCCCGGCGCTCGCCGCAGGAAGCCGGGACGGGAGGCATCAGGTGGCAACGCACAGCTCGGCCATGGGGAAATCAGGTGAGCGAGCACCTCGGAGCGGCGGCCGCGTGTTCTTGCGGTGCCTTTGCCCGGTTTTTGTGCCCCGAAAGCGTTGCCACAAGGTGAGCGGCTTTGCTGGAGGAGAGCTGCTTGCATTAGTGCATGGGCTGAGCTGGGAGGAGCTTTCTGTGTGGCACAATGAAAGGCAATTGTTAGATTTAAAAAAAAAGGGGGGGGGGGGGGAAGAAAAACACCCAAACTGCAGAACATAGAAGAAAAGTAGCTGTGTTGTATATACAGTTTATATTTTGGACCTGAGAAAAGCACTGCTTTGCTGTGTGCAGTACAGCGTTTGGAGAAAGAGAAATTGTAAGCACTGCAGCTTTAAAAACATCACTAGCTGTCCATCGGAGCTTCCTAAGTTGTAGATGGCAATAAAATGCTCCTTCAAAATGCAGAGATTAGCATTTTTATTGATTTTCCCTTTGGAAGGACTTGGATTTAACTGGTTACAGTTTAACTGGGTACAGTCTCTGCCGAGCTCCTGGGTTTCTGCAGAGCTGGGAGGGTTGTTGTAAAGGCAGAGGATTCCCTCATCTCCGTTGAACCTGGATTGCAGCCTGGCTCATCCCCCAGCTGTCACTCTTTGCCCCTCTCCTGAGATCCCACATGCTACAAGTGTGATAGATGGAGGAAAACTCCTCTGAAGTCACTTGGAAGTCAGAGGCCTGAAGAAGGGAGCTCGTCGCTCCAGCTCCATTTACTTCGGCCCTGTTCAACTCGGGATCTGTTTCTGGGATCGATGGGCTCTGCACAAGGCTCTCGACTGTCAGACAGAAGCAGGGATGTAGTCTGAAAACCTGTGCTCGTCTACTGCAGCTGGGGTAGAACTGCTGGCAGCTTTTTTGTTCTTGTGGTTTACAAAACAATCCAGAACCTGCTGGCATAGTTATCCATAAGCAGTATGTATAGGACATGTTCTGTGGAATCCAGTACTTGTTTCCACTTTAAAAATGCAAATGTCCAAAGAAAATCTTTGTTAGGAGACTCTTTAAGAGGTCTCAAATTTATTTGGCTTTTTTTTTTTTTTTTCCCCTTCCTTCTGAGTGGAGGTAACAGCATTCTATACATGTTTTGAGCCTCTGAGCCTTTCTGACAATGTCTTTAGCAAAGGGCTTCTCTTTCCAAAGCCTGTGCCGAAGCAGTATGTAGCACTGGTGTGGCACCCAATCCAGGCTGAGCACCACAGAGCACCCGGCCGCCCTTCCAGGCCCTCTGCCTCGGAAAAGGCAGATGATTTCAAATGTTTTAGGCTTCAGTACATAACTTTACAGTAATTAAAATATTTGTAGTCACTCCAAAGTGTCGAGTTCAATATTTCCTTGGTGGTAAAGGAATCCTTATTGGTATCCTTATTTACTGGTTAAATCTAGCCATTGTGTGCTGCATTAGCAGAGTTAATTGGTGGAAGAAGTGGAAAGGTTATATTGTGCCCCTCCTGATCCCTCATCAAATAAAATCTCTTGCGTTAATGTATGTGCAGTCACAGTTCACAAGTTTCTCACACAGTCATAAGGCAGTGACTGCTTCACTGAACTGTTGCGTCCCACCCCCCACATTCGTTGCTGAACATCAGCTGTCTGTTCCAAAATTAAAAGCAACAGCACTTGAAATTCCTTTTGCTAGGCCTTGGCTATTTTTTGCTTATCTGAATTACTGTACAAACCGACTGAGATCTAAGTGTATGCAATTTTTTTTTCTTACATGTGTCTTGCTTTTCATATCATCAGTTAACTGGGCCCAGGTGACTGTCTCTTAACATTAGGTGCTGGTTGAGTCTTTCAGGGGTGAATCATAAGACTGAAATCCTGCCTTGACAATTGTTTTTTGATTCAATTCCATCTGCCATGTCCATTGCATTGAAACCTTTAAATCCCTCTCCTAGGTCATTCCATGTTGTTTCCTTTCCAAAGGGCTGCTCTCACCTGTTCAGGGAGCACAACTTCCTTTATGTGCTGGGTAAAATTGCTCATGTTTCTGCTAAATGACACAGAATGGGCACAGCTGTGGGGCATTGTGGCCATGTGGGACCTGAGGTCTCCATGAGCTCCGAACAGCAGGCTCGCCCTCTCCTTCTCCCTGCAGTTGGAAAAAAGCTGATTATCTGAAGGTGTGAACTTAAGGGCATTTTATAAATATCCTCCAAAAGTTTCTTTAATTTAGCATCTTCAGTCAGTGTGTCTTAAGGTATAAGCATCCCCAGATAAGCAAATAAATTGTTTTAAATCTCAGAGGCCTTTGAATGCGTTTGGATAAAGCTCCCTGATAGTGTGTTGTTAGCAGATGCTGGATTATATTTGAAGCAATGCTCTTTGTTAGAGGTGGAGACTCGGCACTGGCTTTGCTTCACTTAATAAAATTGAATGTTTGATGAAATGGATACCTCTGACTCAGCTCTCTCGTGGAAGGCTGAGTCCTTCCTGCAGGACTAAAAGCCTGCGGCCTTTTAGCAGGCTGCTAAAACTGCATGGATAGTGAAACCGCCTCTTCCAGGTTCGGAAAACACCTCCCGGGAGGGTCACTGGGAGATGGGCTTCCCCTCCCCGCACAGGTTCCCACCAGGCCTGTCTCTTTGGGGTGCTGGCTGGGTTAGCAGCTAGCGCAGACGCCAAAGCGGAGGAGCCGCTCCGCGCTTTCTGCCAGGAAATGGGCGGCGGGTCGGGTTGGGCCGGGAGGGCCGGGCCCGGTGGCGGCGGCAGGGCCTGCAGGCCGCAGGGCCGCGCGGAGGGGCGGCTGCGATGCCGGCAGAGCGGGATGTGCTCCGCTCCGTCCTCCATGCGGAGCTCGGCCGGCAGCTGTGCCCAGCAGGCTGCGAAAGCGGCCGGAAAAGGCTGCAGAAAGTCGCCCTTGCTTTCCCAGCCCTGCGTGTGGGAAAAGAGACCCTCCTTCCTCCCTGGTTGAGGGGGAACCCCGGCGGGGCGAAGACGAGGGAGCTGCTCCATGATTCCGGCTATTGGTATGCCGGATATGTGTGCCGAATGAGTATGTATGCCGTAGAGCATGGTAAAGCACGCTGTCCAAGAAAGGGATCAGTAAATACTGGATGTCCTTGTGTTTGGTTTTCTCTTTTTTTTTTTTTGGTCTATGTGTGGGTGGGAGTCTGGAGGAAGAGCTGGGAGTTACCCTCTGTGTTGCCAGTTGAGTCAATACTAAAATAAAGAAGGGCCAAAAAAAGCTCTCACAAAAAAGAGGAGACAGGAGCTGAAGTCAGAGCAGTTTTCCTTGCTAATGTGCTTCATAATTTTTTTTTTTTTTTAACTTTAATGATGCCTCTTTGAGCACGGTGAAAAGGACTGGAGTGTTTTCTGCGCCGAGCCCCATCTCTCCTGGACGCGACGTGTGAAGTTGTGCTCTCCAGTCTTACTGTGAGGCAGCTGTAGCAGCTCTCAACAAAAGTACGGAGTTACCCGAAACAAGACCTGTTCTTTTTCTGAAAACATGTTACGCTCCAGCTGCTAAAATCGCAGCACATCTTGTGTTGGCTGTTTTTGCTGGTCCTGCTGGGAAGGAGGAAATGAATAACTAGTAGTAACAAAACATTCATGTGTGGTAACATTAGGGCATTTGCTGAACATGTTATTAATGCCACTTACTGGCTGTATCTCATTACAACAAAAATGAATTTGAGGTGTAACATGAAAAGTGACTTTCAAAAATCAACAGAAGTAATTCAGTTAAAAAAACCCCACAGCTTCCCAGTTTTTGTGTGCGGAAGTTGCTAAATGTGTGCCTCAAGGATTGTCAATAGAGAGAATCTGCCAGGAGGGCATCAGAGTTTGGCAAGTGACACTCTGGGCCTCGTTATCACTAGTGTGCTGCAGGTTTGGCAGGGCAGCTAAGGGGGATGGAGACACGGACCTGCTGCACAGCCACCCGTCTTCACAACTGTGGTGACTCCCCCGTCGTGTTGGACTAGTAGTATTAACTCCTAATGCTCAAGGCTTGTAAACCAAACATTGTGGGTCTCACAAAAAAAAAGAGGGTAATAGTTCACAGTTCCCAAAATATCTCTCTCTTCTGAGTCCTCCAAGAAATCTTTTTTTAATCTAGTTCAGAATGGGGGGAAAAAATACTACACAAAACCATTGAACACATTCAAGCCAGGGCCTTACCTTTTCCTCAATACAGCTGGTAGTTTCTGTCCTGTTTGGATTATAATTTACTGTATTTTTTTTCTCTATGTGCAGGGGAAAAAAAGGAATATGGGAAAGTGGATTCTCTAATTGTAATTGTTGAGTTATTTGCATATCTTTACAGAGCAGAAGGACAGTTTAGATAGCTGTTTTGGTAAAGGCCACTCTGTTCTGCAAGAGATTAGCTCAAGCATATCTGCATTACATTTTTAAAGGAAGATGTAAGCAAATTCTGGCCAGTCTTTGAAGGTCTGAATAGGAACTGTATCTGAATTGTGCTGTGTGGCCCTGCTGAGGTGGGTGAGGTAAAGCCAAGCCGTGTGGCTAGTCTGCTGGTTCAAACTTGGCCCTTGTGCAGGTGTGTGCAACCCTTTAAGAGACTATAAAAGTACCCTGGGTATTTTGAATGAAGACAGTATGAACATATCTAAGGTTACTGTAAATAAGATTTAATGTTGACTGAACTGAAGATATCACAATGAATCTCAGCTTTGCCTAGAAATCATGTTCTTGGCTGATGAAACAGTACAAATGAAACAGTAAGGTAGCTGTGTCCTGCTCAGGCCTTGCCATTATCATCACCGCAATGGCAGGGTTTGGAGCTACCTTCTAATTTAGACTGTGAGGACTGTCTCTGCATATGTTTCCCTATCACTAAGCTGAAATGGGTTATGTCTTCATGAAGTCCCTATGTCCTATCATACTTACAAATACAGGGATTAAAGGATTCATATGGTAGTAGTACCTGGAGGTGGTATTTTTTTTGAGAAAACTCTCATGAAAATTTGTGATCGGTGAGTCTTAAGAAATTATTGAATATGTTTTTTGTTTATATCATCTATGCTT